CAACAACTACCGGTAAGTCGAACCTTTTCACGGCGACTGCGGAGGCAAACTCAAAGCGTTCAATCAACAAGCATGGAAAGTGAGGACCGCAACAAGTAGGCTCTTAGCGTACATAAGTAGCCTCAAAAGTAGCTATACTACCCGGAGCGCAAAAACACGATGCGTCTGGCTTCGAGCAACAAAGGCTGCCCCACTGCCCGAAAGACCCCGCCAGCGTGTGCCAATGTGCCCACGCCAATGATAAGTGGAGTCATTGCAGATGTAGAAGATCCCCCTTGCTGTCATCCCTTCCAGAAGCAAGCCTGCGTGCCCTCGAGGATGACATTGCAGCCTCCCCAGTCACAGCACTTCAGAAATTTCAGAACCTAGAGATGCTAAGCTTCTGTGCATAATATGCTTGCGAAAGGGCTTGACATTAGCCCTGCGGCTGCCCAAAAAGCGCTTGCCACCTCTTCTTGGCCGCTTGCGCGTAAGGTAGAGGCATCCCAAAACAAAGCTGCTGGGCAAAAGGCCACAGGCACCTAGCAGGAGCAGGAAACGAACTGGGTTGGAAACATATGGGTGGTTGTCAAAATTATGGTCCCTTTTTGGGTCCCTATTATAATGCGGCACCTAATATTTAGGGTACCCAAAAAGGGACCATAATTCTCCCAACACCACTGGGCGGGCACCTGCCAGCCAGGTGTCCACATTGCCAGGCCATCCTGGCATATGCGGAGGTGGAATATCTTGCTTCCCCCTCTACTCTACTGGCTGGAAGATTGATTCTGCAAATGGATTTCGTCAGCTCACACCCTTCCTGGCAACAAACTTGCCATGCCCACTGTCCAGGAGGCTGGGCTCAGCTGTCATCGGCACCGCCTGAATGGAGCAGAGCACTTAAAAGTGTTCAAGTCACCTCCATGCACGCAGGGGTGGAGTAAGGGAGTTGACGACGGGTGCTTTGGTGGTCGAAACCAGCACAAGGCATCTCTCCATCCTGAGACAAATGTAGTCCTGCTCTCCCTCGGAATTTGCTTTTTCCTTGTGAGAGCCACCACTCGTCAGGCCCTCGCCTGGTGGAGGAGGGGTGCCATTGCGTCCAAACGCTGAAGCTGCCTTGAAGCTTCTGACTTCCTTGAAACTGGCAGTGCTTTATGAGACTGCTGAGGCGCTTGGGTTTGTGAGACTGTAGGGCTTCAGCTGAAGAGTCCATGGGTTGCCTTGTAATGAGATCTTGTTTTTGATCTACTTCTGAGCCAATCCGTCAGCAAGAATATCTATTGCAAGGCTGCTCCTGAGACAGCAGCCCAAGCTGGTGGCAAAGCTCACAAACGGTTCTGCGTATCGAGACCAGGTACAACGACAGATCTGCGCTGATACACCAGGAAGCTCACGGCAGGTGCAAATGCGTGTTCAGAGAAGCGTTTGGCATGCAAGCCTAGTCTGGGGTCTTTGGTTCATGCACTGGAAGCAGGGCCGATAGGACAAACCTCCTTTCTAGAAATCTGTCCTGAGCCTTGAGGCACACTGCGGAGCAGGCTTCGACTCGTCCGGTTCGGTGCCACAAAATGTCGGCAATCCAATGGGCTTGGAGTAATCTGAAACGCATCACTAACATGTCGTTCAGAACTAAGAACCCCCAAACAACACACGGTGATACAGCGTGTTGAGCTTCGAAATGCCGAGGTGGAATGCCAGGCAGCCTCTCCCTCACTTCGGCCGCAGCAGTCGTGTCCAGGTGCCCTCGGCATGTCTCATGCTACTTCCACTTTGGACATTTATCAATTAACATTTGATTTTTGTGGGTGCCGTTCTGCGGGGCTTTTTGCGAGACGTTGGAGGTCTGGGATTTTTCCAACCCTATCGCCGGCACCCGGCAGGTCAGGGCGCCACAAATCAAAGCTCAAAAGCCCTTCCCGAAACAGCACACACTGATGGCCACGTCCAGCACGATGTTTGGGATGAGCCCTTCTCCCCATTTATAACGCTTGCAGACTAGCATACGATGAGCTGAGCATGTCCTGCAAAAATCCTAAGCTTCAGCACACGCTTCTTGTTGCTACCCCTTTCCCTATCCTTCTGCAATTGCAGGTTTCAGTCTTTAGCCCCTCGTGGAGTTAGGACTGTTTTCCAGGATTCCGACAGCCCGGCCTCTTGGCGAACTCAGTCAAACTGAGGCTTCTGCTCCTCGTTTCTTCTTCATCTTGAGGCTTACCCTGCGGCATGCAGCCATGCGTATCAACAGTTAACAGCACTACGAGAAGCACGCTTGCCTGGAGAACTAGACTGATAGCCTGATAGCTTTAGGGTGCAAGCATTCTTTACACGTTGCTGGCACACGATTCTTGTTCGTGAGTTGATTTGACCAAGCTTTTGGCGCAGAAAGGCAAAAGCAATGCCGGCCTCTTGCCGGCGCTCACGCGGTGCTTAGACTCCTCTGGGACCTCTACCAGCGCTTGCAAAAAGGAGCAGACATGATCGCTGAACGGTTTGACAGGGCACACTGGATTTGCAGCGCGAAGTTGAACCATGGTAAAGTTGGCAAACCATCCGAGGTTGCGACAATTTCGCCCTCCAGCTGCTTCAGGCTCAGGGCAAACTCCTCACAAGGGCTGGCAAGCGGGCTTTGGTGTCCTGCTACACCACCAAAGTGCTGTGCTTGCCAGACCGATGCGCATCAGGGCTTTTATACATGCTCGTACAGGCACATACAGGCATCGGTCTTTTTCTTGTGCAGATCTGATACAAACATGATGATGTACACAGGAGTTTGACAGTCCTTGCCACTCCCGCAAATGCGCAGCTCGACAGCACGCCCATCGAAGCTCACCTGGTCAACATGCGGAGGTCGTAACCTATGCCCTGCACTATGTCCTGCACAGGAGCTGGTTGGACAACTTAGACAGTATTGCTATCAGTTATAGCTCTCGCTGGCAGCCAGCATCAGTGCTGCCCCTGCTCATCCTTTTTCCTCCTCCTCCTCCTAACCCTCCTCCTCCTCCTCCTCCTCCTCCTCCTCTCCTTGGGTCTTTCCTTCTTCTTGTGTTCTTCATCAATACATTTGTTGAAATACGGCCTGCTTTAGCGGTAATGCAGGCTTCGACGGCGAAGCAAAAGAAGGACATGAAGTATCCTTCGGCTGGTGCCTTGACTTCTCCGCTAGTGGCCGCCTCGATCGCCTGGTTAATTCAGAGCGCAAGGCTTGGACAGGTGGAGCTTGCTGAGCACTTTTAAGACGCTAAGTGAAATTGCATGTCCCACAATGCCTCAGGCTCGCCCTCGGCTGACACGTAGATGCAAACGAAGTCTCCCTGACAGCTCTCTCCCACGGCTTCAACCGCATCTGCTCTCTTACTCAAAGGGGAAAAGGCCATTACATTCACACGGCTGGTCAAGCAACGAAAATCTTCAGAATAGCTTTGGCGCCTCGTCTGCCCAAGAATACTTGGTCAAGGGGCGGGCTCCGGATGCCTGCCAGGGACAAAGCAACTAACAAAGCAGAGTGGCTTCGCTTTGCTCTATTGCAGACTTCGACTCAAGTTACCAATGCAGCATTCGCAACAGCCAACCTGAGAGCCAACCTAAAATCTAATCTCCAAGACTTCCAGGTTCCAACCAGAGCTATCAGTCAGCCCATCAGCGTAGTGTTTCTTAACAAAAAGGTCTCTCGGGAACCTGGGCAGCCATGAAGTCCTTTCGGGAGTCACTTGAAAACAGTTTTGAGCAAATTGGGAAACTCCAATCTGGCAGAAGGTCATGCAAGAACAACCCGAGGCCCTAAACTTGACCTGCCCAGCCTTCGCGGCATCACCTGCGCAGGGAGAGGCTCTGCGTACCCGGAACGGATGAAGTACTAAGAACACCGACACCTACGGAAGAATCTAGCGGAAGAAAATGAATGCAAGTCTGAACCTTTTTTAATTTCCAAGCTTGGGTCCCCTCCAACCCTGCAAAATTGTATGTACTACTCTAAGAATACTAATGAGAATATCAATAATACTTACAATAATAATATTACAACACTTAACAATAAAGCTACTGCTGAATGTCTTCCAGATTTGGGGCCATGGCAGGGCCTAAATCTACGTTTTGCGGCTCGAGCTTGATAGGCTCGCCCCCGTAGACGTACCGGAGCTCAGGAGGCAGCTCCTTGCAGACAGGGATCTGGAGCTTTTGTTGTTTTGTTTGCGTTGCACCTTTTCTCCGCTTCCAGCAGGTCTCAGATTTAGGGTTCAGGATTTAGGGATCGGGGTTGAGGGTTTGAGGTTTAGGGTCTCGGATTTAGGTTTTTTGCTCTTCCTTTTACCGTCTGCAGAACAGGGGAACGTGTGCTGCAGGAGTATCTGGTTTAGGGTTGAGGATTTGGGTCTTGTTCAGTGCTCTTTCCTCTCCACCAACACTCTGTTCAGCTGGCAAACCCTTCATCGACCACATCCACTTCACCAAGCAAAGGGGATGCAGGTTCAGGGTCAAGATTATCATGTAGGGTCTGGGCACCCGGTGATTGAATTGGCTGAGGTACTGTTGAGACCTTCATGGGTTGGAGGAGGGGTTATAATCCCCCTTATTTCCCAAAACAAGGAGGCAAATTATCCAAGCATACCACTTTCGTGTTGTATTCTACCATTACATACCATTACTACTATCACAACCAATATGAATGATTTTTTACAGATGACAGATACATGCAACAATGCAGGCTGCCATGATGGTGAAGATCATCGTGTCTTCTTCTGCAAGCATTGGGAAAAGCCCATCCTGTCCTTCTCGTTGGCATGCGCATAGTAGTAGCCTCACATCCATGCTTGACTTGCAAGAGACTGCCCTGTCACCATTCAAAGAAAGGCCTTGCATGTCCTTGCCAGAAAGGCTTGCTGGCCATGGAAATCTGCCGCTACGTGCAAGAGAGTGGCTGTTCCCACCGTTGTTGCGGATGGACTCTCTTAGGAAGGAATTCTCTGGCCGGACCTGCCAAAGAAGTTGCGAACGGCAAGACCCCGGCGCTGGCAATTTGAAGGAGTCACCCTCATGGCATGGCAGATGCACTGACTGGGGCTTTTCGGTAAAACCAACAAGGAAGACACCCACACCTTGCGGGATAACTGTGTAGGCACTATCCTGTTACAGTGACATTCTCATGCCAATCTATGAGCACATCAGTCAGCAAAGCAGAATGAAAGCACGCAAACCCGCAAATGACGTTGGCATGTTCACACAGCTCTATATATTACTACTATACATGGGCTACATAGGGGATTGTATGGACTATATGATGTAGGATTTAAGGCTAAGGGCATATTCGGGAAGTAGAAAGGTGAGGGCCTCAACGGCATCGGCCTTAACGGTTAGCGAGGCGCCGTCCTTGGGATCAGAGCTCAAAGAAATTGGGACCTGTTCCATTCTGAGCCTTTACGCGTTACAAGACGGTTCGGTTTTCAGAATCTGTGGCCTGGCTTGAACACGTAGCTCAGTCTGAAAGGAGCCAAAACCGGTCTTTCTTCCAGGCCCCCAGCTTCGACACCCTGTTCACTCAGGCTTTGCTGAGCCTGGCAATGTGTCTCGTCACGTCATGCGCTTCTTAGACCACAGGCGAGGCAACTGCACCACTGCAGTATCGAAAGCAATGTGCAGTGATTGGAGAGTGCCTCCAAAACTTTCTTCACGGAGTTCCGTGACCTGCAGTCACGCAACATGATCGATGGGAAGATGACATCCCGAATCATCCCGACACTTTCGCAACTTTCAAGAACCCGGCCCGTTCTGGTAGCTCAAAGCCAAGCTCACCTTGGGAACTCTGCAGGAGCCAAGGCTGCATGGCCGACTGCCCCAGCTTTGGGTTAGGATTTAGGGTTCCCCAAAAATAGTAAGCCACAATAATTCATAATCCAATGGAAAAGCACATTGAAATGGAATGGAAACTACTAAGCAGGTAGGGTGATATAGGGATGTTGTGTGGATTTTTTAAGGACAATAAATACCTAGATAACCCCCCACATAACCCTAACATAGTATTTATACAAGGATTATACAGCTTCTCCGAGCGCCAAACATCTTCGCCGAGGCACAGCGCTTCTCGCAGCCGGTCTTTCAGTGCCTCATAGCAAGTCATAGTAACAGTCAGATAACAGCGATAGAGAATAGTAGTGAAAATAGTAACACTAATTATGGAAGTAGGGATAGTAATGTTACTAATAGTAAAGGTAGTAGGATTGCTAGTAATCATACAAATAAGAACAATCGTAGAAGTAATGGCAACGGTAAGAACACTAGTGGTAATAGTAATACTGGTAATAATGAGAGGTGTGCCTGGTCAACTACTGTATCATTCTCGCTTGCGCGCCTCCCCGGTGATGTCAGTTGGAACTGACAGCTGTTGTGGTCCAGAAGCCTTTGAGTAGATGACATTCCTTGGTCTTCCAGCTATGCCTTATGGATGTCTGCCGAAGAGTGGTGACCTATTGCAAATACGAGGGGTTTGCATCAGTGGATGGCTGAGATTGAAGCAGGCTCAACTCGCCCATCTGTGCCTGCCCACTGGACTAACATCTAGAAGACACGTTGCTACACTTCGGGCTTGGAGAGAGCCTCTGCCATCCCTTGCACCGCAGGCCAAGGCCACCGTGTAGCTTGAGCATCAGAGCAGCGAAAGCAGCATACTTTCTGGGTCAATCCATGCTTCCTGCTGCTCTTCTACCAGGCTCTTCTAACATGTGTCCTTCAGCCTCATGCATCTTCGCAACACGTGAAAGCCAAAGCATCCCAAAGTTTCTTGCTCCGCACTTTGGCAACGCACCCGCTTCTTCAGCGGAATAGCCTGCCAACCACAGACAGGAGCCGCGTGGCTCAACAAGCAGCCGACATACGTACCATGGACTGCCAAATGTGTGTCCCCACATGAATTTCTTCTTTGAACCGTTGCACGACATCCGTTGAATGTTGCAGGCCTTGGAGTCTATCCAAAACATCACTAAGATTTCCACTAGTGCATTTACTGCTTAGACTGCGTGCGAAAGCTACCACTATTGCTACTCTCACACCAGCTGCAGTCATAAATGCTACGCCCGTATGCCCTTGAATCCAACCATACAAGACAAAGTTTGAGCTGTTTAGACTCCCGGCCACCGTGCTTCTCGAAAAAAGCCCAAGCGATGACCATGACAGTTTAATTCCTAAATTCATGCTGTGCGCAATGAATAGTACGACTCCTGCCTTTCCATACCTATAGAGCGAGTGCGGTCGGAAGGCGTGGC